GATATACGAACCAGAGTCCTGGCAGGAGCTTTATTGAGCTCCCGACGGCGGCAGCTCCTCCCCTCGAAGCCCAAGGGTAAGAGATCTTGTGAACCAAATTGACTGATAGTTCCGCAGATCCCCCTGGACAGATCCATGAGCAAATAATTATGGCATCTGACTTATTTTCTTTATTGGTTAATAGATTTCAAACCTTTCAATAAAGAAGGATTTCTCAACACATTGAAAGGAAGAATTCTGACATAGTTAAGGGTTTTAAAAGATCTTAAATGCAATGATTGATCACAAAGTTGCATTTTCATTATCATTACTGTTATAACTGTGAACAATTGTTAAAGTTGGCAGTCACTAAAAAAGGTTTACATGTGGCCCCTTTTCTCCATTTCCCCTCTCTTTGGAATGCTTATCCAAGTGCAAAATAAAGACATACACAAGGACTCTCCATTGGTCTGCATATATTCCCCAAAATGTTACATAAATTTCCCCAATGTAATGCACAGATTATAAATAAACAACTTGAAATGAAGGCATGAATAATCCATTAACATAGAATTCCCATATAACCATGTGTTGCCTTATGTACCAAACACAATAATAGAAAGTCAGATGGATATCAGAGCCAGTCTTGTTTCCAAAAACAAACAATGTAGTCATTCTAAGAGTACTATCAATATATAACAAATATATAAATATATAAATGTATATATTTAATTTTTAGACATGGCTGACTGTTCAAAGTGCCCAGAAGATCAATATCCAAGTAAGATCCAAAATTCATGTCTTCCAAAGAAAGTGTCTTTTTTGTCCTATGAAGAACCAATGGGAATTGCTTTAGTCACTCTCGTACTTTTTCTCTCTGTATGCACACTTATGGTGCTGGCAATATTTTTGAAGTATCACCATACTCCAATAATCAAGGCTAATAATCGAAATCTCTCCTATGTTTTACTCATCTCCCTCCTTCTCTGCTTCCTTTGTTCACTTCAGTTCATGGTTGCACCTGGTAATATAATATGTCTATTTCGACAAATTAGCTTTGGCATAATCTTCTCAGTAGCCGTGTCTTCTGTACTGGCAAAAACCATCACTGTGATTTTAGCTTTCATGGCCAACAAGCCAGGATCCAGGATGAGGAAATGGGTGGGAAGAGGACTAGCCACCTCCATTGTTCTTTCTGGTTCTCTGATTCAAGTAGCCATCTGCATTATATGGCTCTTCATATTTCCTCCTTTCCTTGACACTGACACTCATTCAGAAATTGAGGAAATCATACTCCAGTGCAATGAAGGTTCAGTTATTATGTTCTACTGTGTCCTAAGCTACATGGGCTTTCTGGCAGCTGCCAGTTTCACAGTAGCATTTTTCTCCAGAAATCTTCCCAGTAGTTTCAATGAGGCCAAATGTCTCACTTTCAGCATGGTGATATTTTGCAGTGTGTGGCTCTCCTTTGTTCCATCCTACCTGAGCACCAAAGGCAAATACATGGTGGCTGTGGAGGTTTTCTCCATTTTGGCTTCCAGTGCAGGGTTGCTTGTCTGCATATATTTCCCCAAATGTTACATAATTATTGTTAGGCCAGAGTTGAACAACAAAGAAGAATTAATAAAGAGGAGATAATAAGAAACAAAAAATATTTTCCTTTATTTTTTACAGATGATAATGAGATAGATAGACAGTCACAGTGAGATAGATAGATGATAGATAGATAGATAGATGGATGGATGGATGGATGGATGGATGGATGGATGGATAGATAGATAGATAGATAGATAGATAGATAGATAGATAGATAGATAGATAGGAGAGAGGGGGGAGGGAGAGGGAGAGGGAGAGAGATATGTAGCTTGGATTATGAACAAAATTGGATTGGATTCACATTACTTAAAAATCAAGATTGAATCCCAAAGAATCCCGGTCCTTCCGACGTGTCCTAAAAAGTTGGCTTTTCCAGCAAGCCAGCCTGGCCTGAACAAAACAAAAGAAATTATTGATTACTGTTAATTTTAATTTTAATTCTTTTAAAGAAATGTCATTGTCAATTTTAATTGGGTTTGGGATATCTTATTTAATTTCTTTTTAACTTTTGTATTATGTGTTTCTTTTAATGTTGTACGCCGCCCTGAGTCCTTGGGAGAAGGGCGGCATATAAATCAAATAAACCTAAACCGAATAAATCTAAAAGGAAAAAAAAAGTTGTTTGTAGTCTATAATGGGATGATATGATAATGCCTGTATATGTATCATCAAAATATGACAATTATGCATATACCAACATACATGCACATATATGACACAAAGAAATATCTCAATCTAGTCTGAATGTATACATGTACAACGGAAAAAAATTACTGTGAATTTACAAGACGGAAGGAACAAAGCTGTTACAGAATATAGCAGTTCTGCTATAAATACTTTGAAACCTTCTCCCAGAGGGGAGCAACAGAAAAAGATCATAGAATGGGTGTGTGGGGTCTCTAACAATATTTCAAGCTCTAAGCACCTAGTGCTTATAAGCAGTATTCTGAGTAACAGGAAATGAACTTCCTATAGTCTTCTCAGCTGTCCAAACCAGTATTTATATGGACCTTCTATCTGAGGCACTGCTACCACCAAACCAAACAATGATGCCGTTTGTTAAAATGCTCTCAGTCATGCCTCTGTAAAAAGTCACCAAGACAGAAGGAGAAATATATGCTCTCCTCATCTGATGCAGCAAATGAAAATGCTGGTTTTCATGCTTCATTAAAGATAATGTATGAAAAAAACAAGTCAAGATTGATCACCTCCATAATTGCAAGCTTGATACAAAGTGGAATATGACTATGCAGGCTCTTTCTAAAATCAACAATGATCTCCTTTGTTTTGTTAACATTTAAAACTAGGTTATTTTTATTGCACCAGTCCACCAGAAACGGTGATAGGACTTGAATAACTTAACAACCAGTTCTCTGACTGGGTAGGAATATGTCTATCCAGTCATGTGACTGGGTTGGTGACATCACTCATCACACCCAGCTCTGCCTCCCGGCCACTCGCTTCAAAGGCAGAGATAGGATTCAGCTGGTTGGGACTAATCCCACCACTGGCTTCCTCCTGCCCTCCCCTACCTTTCAGGCTGTTTTTGGCCATTTTTGTGGCCATCTTCAGGGGATTTGGGGGGGCATTTTCAGGCAATGTTTCAGACCATTTTCAGGCCACTTTTTCGACCATTTTCAGGCCATTTTTGGCTTGAAAGACAGCCTGGAAAATGGCCTGGAAAACAACCCCAAAAATGAATGGGACCAGCCAGTAGTGGCATTTGCCAATTTGTTACACGGAATCTTAACTACCAGTTCACCCAAATTAGTGTAAACCAGAAACAGCCCACCTATGACCAGAGCCTTCACCTCCTCCTTATAAGAATCTTCATTGTCATTCCCAATAAGCCCTACCATTGCCATGTCATCTGCATACTTCCGTAGCAGACTTACCACAACAGTTACACATCCCAGTGGGAAATCGGTACTCAAATAGATGGAATTGGAAACTTTCCTTCTAACCTGCAAAAACTGTGGCCTATCAGTAAGGAAATCAAGTATCCAGTTACATAAAATACTATTAAAACCTAATAGACCCAGTTTGTTCACCCAATGCTGAGGAATAATTGTGTTCAATGCCAAACTAAAATCAACAACAGCATTTGCACATGAGCATTCATCACCTCCAGTTGTGTCAAATTAAGATGAAACATATAAGAAAGTGAACCATCTATAGAGCAGTTATTATAAAGAAATAATAAACAATTAAGTGATAAATTATAAACAAATAAATCAATTCATGTCATGCGAAAGCTTGAACATGCTTGACATGCTTTATAAATGGGTACAATGAAAATAGCAACATAGGAACAAATGATAAATTCTTTAAATAATATTAACTTTGTTAGCTCTTAGATTGAGAGAATTTTGGTGCAAAAAGAATGAAAAAATCTTAAAGCAAAATGGGGTTTCCCTCCCTAAATTGGCATGTGGCCATTTCCAGAGGTTTGGCCTTTGAGTTTGCATAGTGGGGGTGCGAACTCCCACTATGTAGTAGTCCTCAGATGTCTGCCCATCAGCAGCTCTGCTGAACTTTTATTTGCAGTGGGGCACAGAGTGGAATGCTGTCCCAAGAGATAGGCTGCCACCTTGTCCAGCCATCCCTCTTGGTCCATCCACCACCTTGGTTGAGCAAACAGCCCATTCAGCCCGGCCATTGCAAGCAGGATGGTATAGGACAGTAAGGGCATGGTGGATCCCTAGGCCAGCTAGGAACCCCTGGAACCCTGCAGCCGTAAACTGGGGTCCATTATTTGACCCAGTCAACCCATGAGTTTGAATAGTCACCACAGACCCCAGATAGTGGTCTTGGTAGTGGTGGACTGCATAAGAAGAAATTCTACACACTTAGAATAAGCGTCCACCACCACCAGGAAGCTTTGGCTATGGAAAGGTTCTGTGAAATCCACATGCAGCCTGGACCAGGGACCTCTAGGCAGTTTCTGACTGGTGCAGCAGGGGCAGGCAGGTCGAGATTCCTGGCAGGGGAGGCAGCTAGCTACCCATGTCGTGATAGCCTCATCCATCTTGGGCTACCAAACATAGTTTCGGCTGAGGGCCTTCATGCGAGCTATGCCTCGGTGGCCCAAATGGAGGCGGTCAAGCACCTGGGCTCACAGGCTGGGAGGAATCACCACCCTATCCCCCCAGAGGAGGTACCTGCCCTGGAGCAAGAGTTCCAGTTGCCACAGCTTGTAAGGGCAGAACTTGTCTGAGACCTTTCCTAAGGGCCACCCCCTGTATACCCAGTTAATGACTTGGGAGATGAGGGTCAGCCTTGGAATGATGGGTGACATCCATAGCAGATGTTGGTAGGTCAAGGTCTTCAACTGACAAGACCTTGAGGCCTGGGGGTGGGTCAGGGCCATCTGAAGGGAGGGGGCAGCAGCTGAGGGCATCAGCATGCCACAGCTGCTTTCCAGGCTATATTGCAAGGAGTACTGGTAAACCACCATAAATTCAGTTCACTGAGACATGTACGGTGACAAGATGGGAGGGGTGGGGCAATCACTGGCAGAAGCCCAAGGAGAGGATTGTGGTTGGTAAACAAGGTGAAGTGGCAGCTGTACAGATATTCATGGAACCTTTTGATCACAGATACTGCTGCCAGAGATTCCTTGTTGATCTGGCTGTAGTTTCTCTCCATTGCAGTGGCGGTGGGAGACTAGCATATGCCAGCTTGTAGGAAAGCCGCAAGCTGGCATACTCCACATGGATCAAAGGGGGTGGGAACCTAACATATGCCAGCTGGTGACTTCCATGAGGGAAGGCCTTCAGAACTTCCCTTGCAAAAGCTGTCAGCTGGCATATGTCACGTGGCCGAAAGGGGGTGGGTGGCAGCAGCGGCAGGAGGCTAGCATACGCCTGCTCATGGCTGAAAGTGGGTGGGCGGTGGTGGCTCCAGGAGGCTAGCATATGCCAACTCATGGCTTTCACGAGGGAAGGCCTTAAAAGGAGGTAAGCGGCGGTGGCGGCAGGAGGCTAGAGTACGCCATCTTGTGGATGGAAGGGGGTGGCAGTGACGGTGACGCGACATGTCCGAAAGGAGGTTTCCTGCTTCCCCCTCCATTCCCCAGCCTCGCCTGTGGCGGGCCTAGCTGGCCCGGTTGCCCTTTGTCCCTTCAGTCCAGCTTACCTGCTGTCTTGTCGCCTGCCTGCTCCCTGCTGCATCTAACGCATCGGAGAGCTGCTGATTCTGCCTGCTGGTAAGTGACCCATTATTTTTTATGCTTTTAATGTTTTTTTAAAGAATATTTTATTTTTTGTGTATAGAATTTTTAAAAATCATTTTATTTAAAAGTGTTTAGTATAGATTTTTTTAAAAATGGTTTATTTTAGTTTAATGTTGATAGAATCTTTTTTTAAAATTGTCTTAGACTATTTAAAAAAAGATTCTATCACCAATAAATTAAAATAAACCATTTTAAAAAATTCTATACTTGATAGTTTTAAATGTATTGTGTATATAATTTTTTTAATCGTTTTATTTCAAAGTATTGAGTACAGAGTTTTTTAAAATGGTTTATTTTAATTTATTGTGTGTAGAATATGTTTAACTGGTTTTCTTTTAAATTATTGGGTATGGAATACTTTAAAATGGTTTTATTTTAAATTATTGTGTATAGAATATTTTTAAGTGGTTTTTAAGGATTTTTTTTTATTATTTATAGAAAATATTTTTAGGGAATTTTTATTTATTTACTGTTTATAGAGTATATTTATTACAAGAAATGTTATTCCTTTTTGCAAATGTTTTATTTGTGATGCAATATTTTGCTTTTAAGTGTGCAAGTTGGTGCATGGTTTTTGTGTCTCAAAGTGGCTGCTTTTCTACAGCCCGGGCAGGTTGGTGCAAGGCAGCTTTGGCAGATTTTGTGTGTTTCTGTGTGATACCTCGTTGTTTAGGTAATTGTGAGATGATTGCTGGTTCTGTGAGCTTCCTGGCATTGTCCTTTATAATTTCCCACAATGTCTTGATGGTTTTTATTCCAGTGGCTTTGTCTTTCCTGTCCTTAAGGTTAGGGGGGAAAGACTGGTTTC